GTTCAGACACAGGAATTTGCATTTCAGAGAGGAAGGGGTTGACAGGCAGCGGGAAATATTGTGTTACTTGGCTTCAAAGTTGGCCTTATTTGGGGACTCTTCTGTTAAAGCTGCTGTCCTTAAAAGGACAGAAAGGGGAGGGTGAGRGACTTTCTTTAAACATCTAAAAACCTTTAACAGACAAGCAAATAACATTTTGATTTCATTTTAATTCATGCTCCTAATGATGTGTCAACCTTTCAGATTTATACAAAAAAATTTGTATTAATGTCCCAAGATGCTGTGTCGGCAGAATTTCAKTTGGTGATGTTACACCATTACAATGTTTGTGGTATAATTCTCCAGTGCTAAACATAATGCTACTTGCGTTTTTTATGGGATTTCCAATGTTAAGTTAGCATCTATGTTAAATGTCGTCAGCAGCTTATTATTATTTGTTGTTTACATATTGTGTACTCTTTATTGGGTATAAAAATATACAAACCTGTTTATATTGCATAAAATAAACTACAGTCATTTAGATTTTAAGATAAAAAAAACATCAATCACTCAATTATGATCAAATTTTGAGGTGCCTTAAGAATCCCACTCCTAGTGTTCAACAAGCATAAATAAAACACGTAGATTATAAAAAGGCATTAAATGAGGATTTTTTGTAATCTTGTTATATGGTTTTAGCCCAAACATTTAAAGCGGTAGATTTTGTTGTTTAAAAAAAAGGTCTGGGAGGGGGTCAACGATGTTTGACTATTTTTGCTTCCACTAGTTTAAATATCTTTTTATCTTTAGTAAGATTTTTTGTAAATACTAAAAAGCATCAACTCAAAGACAACTCATTGACACTTTTCTTAGACACTTATTTTTCCATTTTTGTGGTCTTTATAAAAAATCTTACAACCTATTATTTTGCACTAATTAAAATTTATGGATGCCATACTCTTTAAAAACCTGCATTATTTCTAAAGAACAGCAAAACAAATGTGCATGCTGCTAAAAAGGATGTATTTCTTTAAAGTTTAAAATGGCTCAAGCAGAAATAAATCTGAACCAACTATTCTTGCATTAAAAACTCTAAGCTCACAATATTTACAAAGTTGGTATGTTTTTTAACTAAATACAACAAGAAAGTTTGGACCTTCTCTTCTTTATTAGTTGCACTGATGCAAAATGAGATTACAAAGCTTTCAAATGTTTTTTAAACCTTTTTTAGAGCAATATTAAAGGAAATTTCCATATATGCAAACTGGTGATTGTTGTGGCAGCAGGTAAAGTTTAAAAAGAACTCAACTTTAAGAGCAATTTGTTTTGTTTATCGCATGAATACAGCTGTATAGATGAAGAGATGAGCCACTTATACCCTCATGGGTCAAGTGGACCAAAGAGGTCATGTATATATATGTGGCATTTTTCTTTCTTCCTTTTTATACCAAGTCTGATAGTGATGGAGGGACCTAAACAGTACAGGAAATGAGCTCTTATAGGAAAAAGATGACCCCCTTTCTGCCAGAGTTTGTTAATGTTGCAATCTCTGGTGTGTGTAGAACCTGTGAACTCTTAATGGTGGTCAAAAAGCAGATTAGGGTGTTTATACAATCTGTGCTTGCACTGTTATCTTTTAATGTGATTGTTATGCAATGGATTTTTCCTAGAAACACAAACATWTCCAGCTCCGAGTGTAAGAAATCCCACTTTGTCTTAATTTTAATCGTACATATTTTTCCTTGTTGCTCAACCGTTGGTTGTGAGATGGTCTGTGAGCACATCAAAAGCTTTGTGCGTCACTGCAGTGTGTGTGTATTTGTGTGCAGACATGTCTTTAAAAGGATAAGTTAGAGGCTGGAGTATTTTCAGACTAATGACACTAAAACAGAGCAGATTCCAAGAAGGCAGTCCACAAATCTGGTTCATCGGGTTAAATTAGAGGTTGATTATAGGCTTGAGCTGGGAGCAAGGTCACCAAGGTACTAGCCAGCCAGCAGGAGTTCTTCATTCAAGAAGCTTTCAAATACATTTCTGATCTAGAAAGGTATTTTTCTCCTGTCATAGGTAAGGATCTCCTCAAGTGTATGATTGAAGAATAATTTTTTGTTGTCTTGGAAACTGAGTACACGTAGTCCTTCAAGTAACTTTATTCCCTCTATTTAAAAAACTTGAAAAATACTCTAATAGGCCATTGATGTAGCTAATAAGCAGGCTTGGGCGGTATGCCGATAATTTGGTATATCGCGGTATCAAAATATGGTGTCAGTAGGAATGTGCGATATGGCAAAAAATTCATATCACGATATACATTATAATGAGTGGCGGTTACGATATATATCACGATATAAAACTTTTAATAGAACATAAATAAATCACATATTAATTGAGTGGAATAAATATGTATAGGTAAAAAAAATTTAGACCTTAAAATCTCCTTTTCAAAGGGACACTTTAAAGTCTCCCATAAAAAATCTAAATTTAAGGGAGATCTACATGGTTAAATCAAATACTGTATATATACAGTATATATATTAACACACACACACACACACAATAACTTTAATGTAATAGATATCTGCATCCATTGGATGTTGTGTTTGGAATAACCTGCTTTGTTTTAAGGTGGTAAAAAAAATTGTTTGTATTTATTCCTTTCTACACACTTTGCAGATTATTTTTTCTGCACTCCACGTGTTTAATCTGTGCGTGCTCCGGCGGGGTGACACAATCATCCCGTTTATGCTTTACTTTTTCTTTGGAAAGACAGTCTGACTGTCACCCTTTCCCACAGCGCTTCCCCACTGTACAAGGAGACAGTAAAGGCTGAGTTATAGTCGCGCTTTGGAACGCACGCGCACGAAGTGGGCGCAGTGTGCGCGCGCATTCGGCCGTGCGTCGTCGCGCTATGACCGCAGGAGAAACGAGGTCCAGACTCAGCGAGCTTTTGTGCGTCCTGGAGCACTACTTCACCTGCACTGACAGTTGCCTCGCTGCGCCATGTGCCGCGGCGCACGCTCTTCCCGCAGCAGGCAGTGTGGCAGGTCGGGAGCACGCGCCGTCACGTAAATATGTAAACAGTTCGGCGTTCATTTTCGCACACCCGAACCAGGTCCGGAGAAGTTTTTTTTTTCCCCCCTCTTCATTTGCGCTCTCGGCCACGCTGCTTCCCGCTTCCTCTGTTTTGACTCCAGCTGGTTACATCATCAAAAAGAATTGGGTGGTTGGCCGGTAGACTACAGATCTCTATCATAGGACAAATTTATATCRTTTCTACCGGTTATCGTTTATATCGCGCATTCCTAGGTGTCGGTGTATAAAATTATGACCGTATTGACTCCCGTGATTTGAAGCACAAAATTTCCACAAGGCTGCAATGAAAACTGGGACAAATATTCGAGATTCTTTCTGAAGACGCCCCAAAATGTCACTGATGTGTGTTTTGATCAACACAGCTCATTCAGAAGAGAAACGGATGAGGATTGGGTGTTGTGGGGTGACACACCCGTCTGTCGCATCTCTTAAGCCTGGATTATACTTCAATAAGACGTGAGACTGCGCGTTGCTGATTGCGCAATTTTAGCGCATCTTTTCCTGACCAAGTATAAAGAAGAGCTGAAAACGTGGTGGGCCATAAATTATCATAAATCCTCCCTCTGCCCTCCCATAGCTCATATAAAGTATATAAACTACGATAACGATGGCTGGATACTGTTTTTTTCACTTAACATCAGTGTTAAGTTGAGTGAAGTAGAGCTGGGGTTTTTTTGTTAACGGTGGACAGAAAAAAGATGCGACCAGTTGCGCGCTCACGTTCATCCTTGAGACCTGGATCAAACCAGCTGCTCTGAGCTCTTTTTAAAACCGGCTTCAGACAAAAAATATCATTTTAAACAAAATAACACGCAGAAGGAATTGAGCTGCTCGGGGTCCTGTTCTGGTCCAGCTCAGCTCCTCGGCGCTGCCACAGCTGAGGAGCTCCTCATGAACAAACACACTCACAAACTCCGGACCTATCACACACAGAGCCGCAAGACGGCTGTCACCGGGGGATAGCAGCAGTAGAGCAGACGGAAGTTGTGCAATTTTTTGTCACTCAGCAGGGGGAACAAGATGTGCGACTCAAAGTACAAACCAGGCTTTAACCTCTGATTGAGGTTAGTGGCAGACACAAAGGTGAGCCAGTGTGTTGCTGACAGACAGCTACGGAACAAACCAGTCACAGGTTTCTTAAGTCAAACCACCAGAGCTGGACTCCTTTTGGATTAAAACTTTCAGTGATATTCACTATTAATTACAGTACACTCCACGACCCAAGCTCTTGGTAATAATGTATACTGAAGTTTTCTAAAGGTTAAACTTATCATATTTATCCAAAATACTGAAACTGATGAATAGGACAAAAATACACATTTACAAATTGAAATGACTTTGGTTTGTTTTATATTAACACATTATATTATTATATGAATACATTTTCCTATATAATTAGGAGTGCAGAGGACATACAGTAAGCTAATGACCTCTATTAACCATAGCTATTGAACAACCATTAGCATATAAGCCAAATCACATAAAGAACATCATAGAAAAGCTAACACGATTAGCATCAAGTTTATCACCTTTGCAATASTAATATCACTCTTACTGATTTTGCTTTGTTAAATGTTGGACATATCATGTAGCCCTAGTGTTACAGAATATACTGAGATCAAGAGAAAAGATTAACGGGTAAATTAATTAAACTCTGCCTGATTAGGTTAAACTTATTAGCAAATTATTTTTTACTTAAAGTTATTACCAAAATTTTTTTTATTGAACTTCACCTTTAAGACAGTTATAGCATTAAAAGTCCTTATTTTTGTGAATAAAAATCAGTTGGCAAATGTAGCAGGTCAGTCTCAAAAAAGCTTCTTCATAAAAACCAGCAGGAACTTATTAAATCCAAGGAGCAGGGACAGGAAGTGGGACCAGTTAAAGAGATGGTTATGGGAGGACTTGATAAAAATAAAGTCACTGACCTTCTCTCGGGACTGAGGATGGCCTCTCTCTCAGGCCTCTCAGGACTCCTGAACAGACTCTTTTTCTCAGCCTTTCTGGCCTCAGCCTCCATGCGGCGGGAGCGCGACACATCATGATGGCCGCCCCTGTGACTAATCGGGTGGCTGTCGGTGCTGGTGGCCGTGCTGCCGCTGGCATCTGAGTCCAGAGAGCTGACCGAGCCGCTTATGTGGGAGCCGTTTGAGAGAAGGGAACTGCCAGAGGGGAATGGGTCACTGGGCACCGGAGACAGGCAGCGCGGGACTCCTCCCAAACTGGAGCAAGAGCCCGTCGGGGAGAGCGGGTCGGTGGCGGGCTGGGGAACGGAACTGTGCAGCATCAGGCTGCCGCGATTAACATCATCCCCGTTCACCGACCCTGCATCAGAGCCCTGTCCTACAGATGCATATTCACCTAAGAAAGGAGACAAAGAAGACAGCAAGTATGCAGACTGTCTTAACTGAGCCACTGGTGAGTCACTTTGATATCAGTGTAAACACGACTGTCAGCACGGACAGACACTTGGTCATCTTTCCCATTCCCAGCCCATCTGCTGATTTAGGTCATTTTTAAAGTGAATTCTTTTCATGAATGTGAATCTTTTTGTCCCACAAGATTAATATAAAATGCTAGTTCTTTGAACCTATAGAAATATGTTTATTTAGGCTTTACACAAAATGAACAATCAAAGAATCAAGGCTGCAACAGACAAACTAAATCGTACTGAACCAAAAATAAGAAGGACCTGTACTAACACACTGCTACATATGAACATGTTTGAGATTCATACTGGATTTTATTGATTCTAAACACTGAAAAATATAACAAACAGGAAGTAAAAAACTCCTTACCTGCAGGGGGCGGTGGTGATACAAGAGACTGATCAACAGCAGTCCACACAGTTGCACTCTCAGCCTCTCTCTGGTTTAGCTCCTCCTGCCAAATGATGGAACTTGAATCTGGACTTTTATCTGGTTCTGGTATACCAGAGCCGGTCACTGCTACCTTGGCTGGACCTGGCTCCTGGACGAGAATGCAGAGATGCATGAAGTTAATTGGAATCCAGATGTTCCAACTATCACACAGAGCTTTGATCGTATGAGTAAAGAAAACTACCTGGGAGGTTGCAGGCTCTACTTTTCGCTTCTTCTTCTGGTTTTGTTTGTTAGTTCGAGGATAAACAATCAACTGTTCACTCCACCTACAAAAAACACAAAACATTTATTTGGTGTATATTCATGTCCTGCAACTCGTGAAATGAATATGAGGAAGTTACCCATTAATGATTTCTTTATTCTCTCCTCTGATAAAGTACTCTTGTTCAGGGGTGATGATGCACAGCGAGTTCTTCTGGCCTGTTTTGGGCTCTGCATCGATGACATCTGTGCAGACATTCATGTTGACAGTACCCTGAGGCAGCGTGCTCGGCTGGAAGACACAAAACAACATAAATATACTTTTAGAATTGGAAGTATTACTGTGATTGTGTAAAAACTGTACCACAAATCATGTAAATGATATCAATTGGCCTGTTCATTTATGTGTAGTTTGGATTTGTTTTTAACTGTGAAGTACAGTTAGGTCCATATCTATTTGGACAGAGACAACATTTTCTACTGACTTGGGCATTCAAGAATATTCCACATCTTTACTTTAAAAAACTCCTGGTTTCTTTGGCTTTATGTTTTGGGTCAGTGTCCATCTGTATTATGAAATGCCCACCAATCAGTTCGGCTGCATTTGGCAGGATCTAAGTATGGCTCTGAATACCTCAGAATTCATTCGACTGCTTCTGTCCTGTGTCACATCATCAGTTAACACTAGTGACCCAGGGCCACGGGCAGCCATGCCCAAGCCTTCACACTGCTCTGCTGTGTTTTACAGATGATGCGGTATGCTTTGGATCATGAGCATAGAAGTTCTGCATGCTGCGGTTCTGATGTGCACATTTTTGCTGATAGTACAGCTGCAATAGCATTTAAAATATCAAAAGCAGCTAATTTAATGGTGGTTTCACAATGAAACTAAATTTGGAGCGACGTCAGTAAATGTGTCACCAAAGGAGACGAGGTGCTCTGTGTGTTTTGACCCACTTCATGCTGGCAGCAAAGCTGCTAAGCAGGAGACGACGGAACCGGTTTGATTTTAGTTTATTTAGCTCAGCAACGGTGGCCTGTGAAGTCCAAAAAGGCACATTTTATGCAGTTGGTTCGGTTCGAGTCCAGTCTGTATTCACACCAGAAGCAAACTAAAGCGAACCGCACCAGAGTTCGTTTGGAAGCAGACCGAGACCACCTCAAAAAGCAGGTCTCGGTCCGGTTGTTTGATCCGCACTAGAGTTCGCATGAGTGATTCACATCTGMACAAAAGGTCAGGACCAAAGCTGGAAACGAACTCTGTTTTTTTTTTATTGTTATTATTTATTATTATTATTTTACTTTTTACAATTCCCACCCCGCATCACTTTTATCTGCTGCTATTTAAAATCATAAGCACACTATTGTGATCAAGCTGCACATTTTGGATGAATATTTGTATGGGTTTTTCTAAAACTGAGGAGTAATACAGTAATTGGTGTTTCCAAGCTTATCAGTTGTCATCTTAAAAAAAAGGTCAAATGTGGGAAACTTTTAAAAGGGAAGTTCCTGGTTTGTTTTTGTCCATGTTCACTCAGCATACTGTTTGCATAGCTGATGTCTGATTGAACACCGATATCACTGGTATCCAAACAGTTTAAAACTCAAACAAAGAAGATCTAAAGAAAAGCCTGCCTCAGAGCTGCAGAGAGTCCCACAGTCCTACACTGTACAGATACCATGGTTACCAGGCAAATCCTCTCAATTACATCACACACRAAGAAAAAAAAAGGGAAAGACAGCAACAGGATGCCAGATTAAAGCTTCTTTGTGTGTGAGATCAGTGAAGAACACAAGGTTGGGAGTACTTTGACAACAAGAACAGGACTGGAAAACTAAAGAAAATGAAAAACCCCGCATTTTCTTAAACATCTAGATACAGTCCCCTCCAAAAAGTATTGAATTGGCATTGRAAAGTATTTGTTTGAACGCACCCATTTTTCAAGTGAGCAAAACGTAAGGTTATGAATATAACCATGGTTCCTTGAAGGAATGGAACCAAGTACAACACACAGCTGTATATGGGACACGCGCACCCTAGTACGCCTGGCTGAAGCCACCTCTAATCACGTCTTTAGACCGGTTGAACGTCTGGTGACAGGCTCCGCCTTCACCATATAAGTTCGGAGTCACCAGCGTCATTACTCAGTTAGATACCGCCCTTCACCGAGCCTTTTGTGATGCGGGGCCAACAAGGTGTTGTACTTCGTTCCATTCCTTCAAGGAACCGTGGTTATATTCATAACCTTACGTTCCTTTTCAGTCATTTCACTCAGTACAACACACAGTTGTATATGGGACTTGTCAAAGCGCACCGCAGAGCAGCATCAGACCTGAGTTAAGTAGTGTGCCTGAGTAAGTACTGTACTAATGCAGAGCTTTGGACCCGGCAGAAAGTACAGAATGAGCCACCGAAGRKGYYGTTACATCCAGGCTGTAAAATCGTGCAAATGTGTTTGGTGAGGCCCAGCTGGTCGCGGCACAAATGTCACTCACAGGTACCCCTTTAAAAAGGGCCCAAGATGYCGCTACACCCCTGGTGGAGTGAGCTTTAACTCCAAGAGGGATTGGAAGGTTTTTGCTGCTGTATGCTAGCAAGATGGCCTCTACAATCTAGTGAGAGAGTCATTGTCTAGAAAGAGCTTTACCTCTGTTTGGGTTAGCAACAACCACAAACGGCTGATCACATGACCTTACATCCTATGTGCGGCTGATGTAAGTGCGTAGAGCACGTACAGGGCACAGAAGATGCAGCCTCTTTTGCTCCTCAGTTGCAAAGTGGGGGATGAAAGCTGGAAAGCTCTATAGACATAGAGCTGTAACTAGAAGGTATCAACTTAGGAAGATACGCAGAGTTAGGGTGCAAAACCACTTTAGAGTCATTAGTAGAAAACTGGATACAGGAGCGGTTCACTGACAGAGCGTAGAGGTCCCCGACCCGTTTAGCTGTAGCTAAAGCCAGAAGCAAAGCAACTTTATATGAAAGAAACTTCAACTCAACAGATTCTAGAGGCTCAAATGGAGGGTCGCAGAGAGCCTCAAGAACCACAGTGAGGTCCCAAGAGGGAATACTGGGTTTAATARCAGGCCGTATCTTACAAACCCCTTTCAGAAAATGCACGGCTAAAGGATGAGCACCAGGTGTGACTCCATCAAAACCTACATGGCAGGCAGAAATGGCTGCTAAGTAGACTTTAATTGTGGAGAAGGAGAGCCCTTTATCCAGTAGCTCATGAAGAAATGTTAAAACATCTCCTATTACACACTGAAAAGTGTCCAGGTGCCCGATCTTACACAATCGCTCAAAAGCTTGCCACTTATAGGAATATAATCCTCTAGTGGATGAAGCTCTTGCATTTTGGATAGTTGCTATTACTGCTGGAGAAAGGCCTTTGGCTAAAAAGCTGGACCTTTCAGCAGGTAAGCATGCAGCTTCCATAGTTCTGGGTGTGGGTGAAAAATCTCCCCCTCTGCCTGAGAGAGGAGATCTCGTCGAACCGGAAGTTGCCAGGGTTGAGCTGCTAGCAAGCTGATTATCTCGGTGTACCAAAACTTCGCTGGCCAGCGGGGTGCCACTAGGATCAAAGACAGGCTCTGTCCACGCACCCTCTCTAGTAAAGGTGGTATCATTTCCACTGGGGGAAACGCATACAGAAGTACATCGGGCCAAGGATGAGCTAGGGCGTCCACTCCCAGAGGAGCGCTCTGCTCTGTCATGGAAAAGAACAGAGGCCAGTGTGTGTTTGCTCTGGAGGCAAACAGATCTACTGTCGCTTTTGCCAAACAAAACCCAAATCTGGGCCACCACAGTGGGATGCAGCCTCCACTCCTTTGCTAGAGGGCCGCCCCTGGAGAGGAGTTCTGGACCTAGGTTCAGTCTCCCCGGAACATGAATGGCTCTGATAGACAGAAAATGAACACTGCTCCACTGTAAAAGAGTGTGAGACAAGTTCAACCGGGGAAGGGACTGAGTCCCCCCTTGTCTGTTTATATACTGTAAGAGACCACCGCTGTGTTGTCCGTTCTGATTAGAAGATGATGGTTCTCCAGAACTAGACAAAAATGTTTCAGTGCTAACAGGACTGCTAATAATTCTAGGCAGTTTATGTGGAGCCTGGACTGTTGTGGAGTCCAGGTTCCCCTCGCCGTCGCACAAGGCTCCCCAACCTTTCAGGGAGGCGTCTATGGACACCACTTTGCGAAACGACACCCTCCCTATTGGAGAACCATGATACAGGAGGCCGGGTTCCCTCCAGGGGCTGAGAGCCGTCATGCAGGAAGCAGTTATTGTTAGCTTTTTGTGTCTGTGTCGAGACGGACACAGCCTGTGGGACTGAGACCAACGCTGAAAACGGCGCATTTTTAACAGCCCGAGTCGTACTACTGAAATCAGGGAAGCCGTCATTCCCAGTAACTGTAGTACAGTTTTGAAGCTCAGTTTGCATCCCAGTTGAAACTGAGCTAAGCAGCGGTGAAATGCGTCCACTCTGTTTTCTGAGAGGCGAGCCCTGCTTGACAAGGAGCAGATTTCTAGTCCGAGGAACGAAAACTGCTGACTTGGTGTTAATAGACTTTTCTGGGTGTTTACTAAAAACCCTAAAGCCTGAATGTGTGACAGAACCTGAGACAGCTGATCTAATGTTTGCTCCTTGGAGCTTGCGATCAGAGCCCAGTCGTCTAAATATGCTAACAGACGGACCTCCCTTTACCTGAGAGGAGTCAACGCAGCTTCTACGCACTTTGAAAAGGTGCGAGGAGGTAGGGATAAACCGAACGGTAGCACCAGGTACTCATAGGCTACACCCTCGAAGGCGAACCTGAGAAATTTTCTGTGCTCTGGGTGAATCGCTATGTGAAAATAGGCRTCTGTTAAATCGATGGTCGCAAACCAATCGCCCGGGCTGATCGAGTGAATTAGCTGTTTGAGCGTTAACATTTTGAACCTGTATGTTTGAAGGTACCAGTTTAACACTCTCAGATCCAAAATAGGCCGCAGTCAGTCCTGTAGGCATTATCAGTTCATCCAAGTAGGTCGCTCTGTCCTTGTCGGGAACGTCTGAGAGCATTAGCCACAGGTGCCTCTGCGCCATCACAGTAGAAGCCATTCCTTTCCCCAGAGCCAGCGTTGCACAGCGGGACACACGCAGGATGTGGTCTGATGCCAGACTGATCTCGTTCAGCAGGGATAAAAGGGGGTTTTCCTGCGGCATCTGATCTGCCAGTTCAGCCAAGGCCATGGCCTGGTAGGTCTGAAGCWTGGTGACGGAGCTCAGTGCATGGGCGGTGTTACCT